CTGGAGTGTATTAGGATACCTCCCTTGCTTGTGGGACTTCTGGGCCAAGGATGTGTTTTCTGTCTTTCTAAAAAGGGTTCAAGGGACGGCTAGGTGGCCCAGTGGAGAAAGCACTGGTCCTGGAGTCAGGAGGACCTGAATCCAAATCCAGTCTCAGATCAGACATTCGACACTCACTAGCTGTGTGAACCTGGGCAAGTTGTTTAACCCCAATTGCCTCATCTGAAAAAATAAATAAATAAAAAGAGATCAAAACCTCTTCTTAAATCTCAACCTACTGCTTTCATTAATCAGATCAGACAAAAATTTGGAGGCCACTTAATATGTATGCATGCCTGTACACAGACATATATGGTGTATGTATAAATGTGAATATATATGTGAATAAGTATGTGGATATCCATATATCTGTTTCTGTTGTCGTTCAGTTGTTTCAGTTGTGTCTGACTCTTTCTGACCCCATTTGGGTTTTTTTGGCAAAGATACTGGAGAGGTTTGCCTTTTCTTTCTCCAGTTCATTTTACAGATGAGGAAACTGAAATAAACAGGGTTAAGTAACTTTGCCAGGGTCACATAGCTAGTAAGTGTTTGAGGCCAGATTTGAATTCAGGAAGTTGAGTCTTCCTGACTCCAGGCTGGCATTCTAAGCATTGTGCCACCTAGCTGCCTATTGATATATCTAGATCTGTTCACATTCTGAACAGCACATTGATCAGTGTTAAATGACCTTGTAGTAAAGCGTTGGGTACCCTACCCACAAGACACCTGACATAATAGTATATACATAATCATACATATATGTGTATATGTATATACATATATATGCACATATATGTATATATTTATGTATACACACATACACACATATATCCCTAGACATAATAGGGATAAGCCCTTAAGGCAGATGTGAGCCAAGTGGAGGCAGAATCAACCTCCTATGGAATGTTTGTATTCCATAGAACTCATATGTTTTATAGGTGGGGTACCTTCTGTTTTGTTACACAGTCATGCTACACTGAACATTGCGCCTTTTGGAAGGAATAGAAGTTCATTTCATGCATGTGGCTCCTGGTGCTGACTGGATAGAACACTGGAATCCATAATGTGATGGTACAAGGGCCTTGGGCTTTGTACTACGCTGTGATTACAGTGAATTATTCAAACAGGGTAGCTCTGATGGGAAGGGGGCTGATTATTTAGCAGTCTTAAGTATATTACTTTTGGAGGAAATGTGAAAACTCAAAGGGTCTTTGTGGGGTGGAAGAGGGGTTCGTTGGAATGTTGTGATCGCTCCAAGTGTTTTTCCCTTCTGATAGTGAGTACGTTGGTGCAGTCCAAATAGTGAGTACATTGGTGCAGTCCAAACCAAAGAATGGTATTATGGGATGGAACACATGTATCTCTGTAGGAAGAGGAACTTAAGGAATGGTGAGGAACTATATGCCCAGAATCCAAATCCAGTTCCCTTGTGAAGACAGTCCAAACCATGGGGCTGTACTGAGTCAGAACATGTGGATCTGGTCTGAAAGTGGTACCCACCAGAAAGGAAGCACAGTGGTATTGATCATTTCTGGACCATTGTCCTTTTTATTTTCTGTATTATCTGTTGGACAAAATAAACTGTCCTATACCTGATAAAGGTTTGTTACTTTGGTTGCTTATGTAGGATCTGGGGATCCTTTTATGGACAGCCATGGAAATGTACACAAGCTTTATAGTCTGAGATTTCCCAGATTAAACTCTGGGTGAGGTCAATGTGAGCCAAAAGGAAAGGCAGCTTCTGGAAGCTACCAAAGGTAGCTTCTAAGTTTGGACTCATTCAATTTGAACTCAGAGTTTGCGGTGCTTGATGACAGATTACATGTGTATTTATTTAAAGTAATGCTTTTTAAAAATTTGCCTCTTTTATTTCTTACTGTGCTATGTCTGGAGTCAGGAAGACCTGAATTCGAATCCAGCTTCAGTCACTTATTGTCTGTGTGTCCCGGTGTAAGTCACAACCTCAGTTTGTCTTCGTTTCCTCAACTGTAAAATAGAGATAATAATAGTGCTTACATCTCAGGGCTGTTCTGAGAATAAAATGAGATAATATTTGTAAAAAAAAAAAAATACACACACACAGTAAAGTGCCTGGCATATAGTAGGTGCTTTATAAATATTTATTCCCCTGCTCCATCTTCCTATAATGCTACAACGTAATACGACTGCTTACCTCTTGTCCCAGCTCAGGCTCTAGGCCCAAAATGAAAAAGAAGGGAGGATTTTTGAGGGTGGGGTGGGGTGGGGAGGAGGGAGTGGATGAGTCTATAAATAGAGCAGCTGAAGTATGGTAAGTTTGCTAAGAGCCTCAGCCCTAGTTATATTTCAGTGATGGCCAGGGATCCCTCCTAAGTAGTCTCCTAATACTTGTCATGTTATAACTTTTATTTCTTTATAAAAATAAAATTTTAAAATCCTTTTGCTTCCTAGTAGCTACAGTGAAAGCCTAAAGCAGGGTCCAGTACTTGTTTCGGAGACATCAGGGAAGTGGAGAGACTCTGAATGAACCTTTATCCTTTCCACAGGGAATCTGTTTCTATTACTGTTAAATGAGGGGCATATTGTTGGAACCAAGAGGCATCAGACTTCATTTCCCTTTGTGCTTTCTCAATTTCACTATTTATTTTGATGGAAGTATGTGAATCTGTCATATGCTCATAGGATCATAGAGTTAAAGATATGTGGGACCTTAAAGGTCATCTAAACATGTGTGTGTGTGTGTGTGTGTGTGTATAAAATCATGGATTTAGCATTGGACCTTAGATGCTATTGAGTCCAAACCCCTCATTTTACAGATGGGGAAATTAAGTTCCATGGAAGCCAAATGAGTCTTGAAAGGTTACACAGGAAATGAGCATCAGAGATGAGATTTGAAACTTGCTCTTTGAATTTGAGTCATTTTTTCCGCAACTACATCCTCTGTCCTACTGGGGAGCTCCACTGGAGTATAGAGATGACCCCGGGTTCTAGAAGTTGCTAGGAGATGAGCATGAGTTCTGCTAGTTTCTATCAAGAGGGGAAAGGTTCCAGTGTGGGCCCTTTGTTGTTCTCTCTACGTGTTGTCCAAAGACCATTCTGGCTGAGCTCCAGGAAGCTTAACTTCAGTTAAACTTCAAAGTAACTCATTTTCCAACCACAGCAATTCAGGAAAACTTTCAACTAAAGTTTTGGGGGATTTATAATTTTCTTCAGGATACAGAATATTCACAATGAAGACATCTCGGAGTCCAGAAGTCCTCGGTAAGATGAATGTGTGTTGGAAGTACCAGAGTGAGGAATGAATTTATATCGATGACTACCCTTACTGTCTTTTCTTCCTCTTTGAACTTCCCCTTTCTCTCCTAGCTTTCATTTGGTATTGCAGGTGGGATAGGGCTTCAGGAAAGATGTGGTTTATTTGGCTTGGAATCATGTGACCCTCGCACTGAGCAGGGCCAAATCGGAAAAAAAATTGGGGCAGATATCTTGACCCACTCAAAGCAGGAGATGGTATAACGGGAGGAAGCAGATGTAAAGGGAGGCATTGTGGACAGAAACGAAATGAGTTAACAGGACTGAAACAAAAGAGCAGAGCAGAGGGCTAAGAGGGCTGGAAATGGCTGTTCAGATCAGTAGTGAAAATGAGAAAAGCATTAGGGATGGGTATATTGAAAAAGACATTTTTCCTTGGAGGAATAAATGAGAACCTGATCTCTAGAGAGGGAGATTTTCAATCAACTAAGGAGTATTTCTTGAGTGCCGGTCCTCCATCATCTCTCCAGCATCATTGGGGATGCACGTAAGAAATGTAAAAATGGGAACAGCGGGGCTCCTACATGAGGTGATATGACAGAATTGAAGAGATATATCCCCAGGTAGGAAGTTAGCATCAGGAAGACCAGAGGTATTTGAATTTCAATATTAAACCTGTCCTTGTCTCAACTCAGGGTCCTTCCTGGGTACAGTGAAAGTTCGAGGGAGAAGAGGGAACTCAGTACTTCCAGATCTTCCTCCCATCCCGAGGCCCTCAATCCAGGGCAGCGGTGAAATGTAACGCGCTCTCCCCCCTCCCCCTCCTTTCCCCTATTTTGGACTTCAGTAAAGGTCTGGCAGGATTACACATACTCCATGCCAAAGCACAGGCCTGGGCCCTCTGGGTTGATGAGCCTAGAGTGAGTCTGAGATGGGGTCGTGTTGAGATGAAGTGGGCATCAGTCCTGGCGCCCGGGAAGCTGGCCTTAGCCACGAGAGGAGGAGGAGGGAATAGGGAAGAGGAAGGCAGAGGCACCGCAGGGGCTGGCGCTGCGGGACTGGTGGGGCAGCGGGGCGCGGCCCTGCCTCCCTCTCTGAAACTGCCGTTTGGATGCGGGAGCGCAGCAGCCGCAGCCGCAGCCGCAGCGGGAGGAGGAGGAGAGGAGAGGACTTGGAAAGGAGGAGGAGAGGAGAAGAGAGGAGAGGAGGTGGAGAGGAGGCGGCGGCAGCCGTGGCCCTCTGTACGGTTCGCGTCTTTGCACAGAACAGCTTGTGGGATGGCGGCAGCGGAGGTGGTGGCGCGGCTCCGGGAGGCGGGGAGGGGCCGGCCGTGAAACCGATGAATCCTCGGCGGGCAGCGTAAGGGATCGCACCATGGAGGACCGGCCTGGACCCAGGTGCCGAGAGGAGGCAGCGCCCGGGAGGGAGGAGGTGCAGGAGAAGGAGCTGTAGGGGCCGTCCGCCCACCATCCCTCAGCGTCTCTTGCTTTGCCTCTTTCGTGGGTGAGAGCCAACGAGGCCAGGGCCGGCCCCATGGCGGGGTAAGTGAAGCTTCCCCAGCCGCAGCCTTGCTAGCAGAGGGAGGGGAAGAGGGAGAAGGGATAGGAAAGGGAGAAGGAGGAAGAAGAGAAGGAGAAGGGGAAGGAGGAGGAGGAGGAGGAGGAGGAGGAGGAGGCCAACAAGAGGGAGGAGGCCAAGCTCCAGCTCCTCCCGCAGCGCCAGGCTCCTCGATGGCGAACGCCAGTGACCTGGCCGGAGCCAGCAGCCCGGCCCCGAGCAGCGCTGCGGGCGGCGGAGGCAGCGGCGGGGGCAGCGGGGGCGGCGGCCCGGCAGCACTGGGCCTCAAGCTGGCCTCGCTCAGCCTCATCCTGTGCATCAGCCTGGCCGGCAACGTGCTCTTCGTGCTGCTCATCCTCCGGGACCGCCACCTGCACCGGGCGCCCTACTACCTGCTGCTCGACCTGTGCCTGGCCGACGGGCTGCGCTCGCTCGCCTGCTTCCCGGCGGTGCTGCTGTCCGTGCGCCGGGGCGCGGGCGCTGCTGGCGGGGCGCCGCCGCCCGGCGCGCTCGGCTGCAAGTTGCTCGCCTTCCTGGCCGTGCTCTTTTGCTTCCACGCCGCCTTCCTGCTGCTGGGCGTGGGCGTCACCCGCTACCTGGCCATAGCCCATCACCGCTTCTATGCCAAGCGCCTGACGGGCTGGCCGTGCGCCGCCGTGGTGTGCGTGGCGTGGGTGCTGGCCCTGGCCATGGCCTTCCCGCCCGTCCTGGACGTGGGCACCTACCGCTTTGTCCGGGAGGAGGCGCAGTGCACCTTCGAGCACCGCCACGTCGGGGCCAACGATACGCTGGGCTTCATGCTCATGCTGGCCGCGGTGGTGGGCGCCACGCACCTGGTTTACCTTCGCCTGCTCTTCTTCATCCACGACCGCCGAAAGATGAAGCCCGCCCAGCTGGTGCCCGCCGTCAGCCAGAACTGGACCTTCCACGGGCCGGGCGCCACGGGCCAGGCGGCCGCCAACTGGACAGCGGGCTTCGGCAGGGGTCCCACGCCGCCCACGCTGGTGGGCATCCGCCCGGCCGGCCCGGGTCCCGGGGGGCAGGCCCGGCGCCTCCTGGTGCTGGAGGAGTTCAAGACCGAGAAGAGGCTCTGCAAGATGTTTTACATGATCACCCTCCTCTTCCTCCTCCTCTGGGGCCCCTACATCGTGGCCTGCTACCTGAGGGTCTTCATCAAGGCTGGCGCCGTGCCCCAGGGCTACCTGACCACCTCAGTGTGGCTCACCTTTGCCCAGGCCGGCGTGAACCCCATCCTTTGTTTCATCTTTAACAAGGAGCTGAGAGTCTGCTTCCGAGCTCATTTCCCCTGCGGCCAGAGCCCCCAGACCACTCAGGGGACCCTTCTCTGCGATTTGAAAAGCATTGGCATATAACAGCACCCACGCTCTCCTGCCCCTCCCCTCTCTCACGGGCTGTGATTTCTCTCTCCCCCCCCCCCCCCGGAGGTGGGGTGGAAATCAAGTCGTTTCTGCTCCTTTTCTAGGTTGTCTTTCATACGGAGACCACAGACTTTAAACGGGGACAGAATCTACATTTAGACTGGCGACAAGTAATTTTTGTGAATTGGTATTTGCTTTTGAATAAGGCACCTCCCCCCTTTCCTAACAGTCTTGGCCACATTTATCTTCTAAAGTAGATTTTGATCTGGACAATAAACCCTGCGGTGTTTTGTACAGTACTGACGTCTTTTTTTTTTTTTTTTATAAAGCCTAAACTAATTTTATTTGTGCAAGGCCAAGACCAATTTTCTACAGAAGCTATTTTTGACAACCTCAAGTGGTATTATATTTTGAAGGGAAGTAAAAGAGAATGGGACTTTTAACGATTTCACGGGTTAGATTTCTTGAGGGTCTTCTGTTAGAACCAGGCAAATGGAACAAAATACTAAAATTGAAATTGCCGGTTAAACAGCTGCTGTTGATATTGTAGATACACTGTAGCAAACTGGGAGTGATGATATTTATCGCACTATTCCGTTGGAAACAATTAAGAACGTTGTGAGAAAATGGATTTAAAATTGGAGAGTTAAAGTTTAATTCAGCAGCAGTAAGGCAGTCATTTTTAAGCAGTGAAATTTACTAACTTCTTAAGCAAAATTATAATACTTCTGGAAAATACTTGTAAAACACGACTGTTTTCTATATTAAAATGACTGTTTTCTATGTAACAGAGGTAAAATTTCTGTACAATCATAACTTTTAAAATAGCAAAAACAAGTGTTCTGATTAATTGTATAAAGAAAATGTTGCATGTTTTTTTTTTAATGTACTGGAAACAAGTTACAGGCTGATTGTTAAGCACAGGGTATTAATTAAAATTGCTTTGAATATTTTTGACAATAAAAATCGGTTGAAATAATTTTATGGAAACAGCTTGCATATTGAATAACTTAATTGTTTTTTCCTGTCTTATACAACTATTTCCATTTGGTAAATTGCTCTTCTGTTAATAATATGAATGGATGGATAATTATGGTACGCTACTTTTGAGAGACAAAGTGTTTCCTTTAAATGTTTGCCAGGTTAAACTGTGCTCTTATACTGATGGTTATTTTAAATTAATAATGAGAACTATAGTTTTAAAGAATGCTTCTTTGTAAGAACTGTAATCTTAAAATGAAATATGAAATTCTCTAAGTGCTGTCTACAATGCTCCATTTTTATTAACATAACTTCCATTAAAAATTTATATCTGTATTTCTCATTTGCATCGCACAAACTAAAATATACCAATATTTTTATCCTTGAGTGAACTTTTTTATTAACACTGGTTTCTAGAGAAGACACTAACACTTGTTTCAAGGCTAACAATGTTAGATCAGACTTTTAGTACATGTTGTCATGTTGTAGCTTTTTTCATATGATCTGTGGCACATCATTTATTGAAAACCCACTCTGGTATTGCAGGAAAGGCTTGGCATTAAGAAGCCAGGAGACTCAAGTTCTAATTCCAGCTTTGACAAAAGCTTGTTATGGGATCCTGGACAAGTCATTTCTCCTGACTGGACCTCAGTTTTGTCATCTGGAAAATAAGGAGAGAACAATGCTATCCACAATCTCTTCTAGTTCTAGTGTTCTATGATTTTGCTATGTGTAAGACATTGTTAATGCATTAAATAGCATTTGGAAGTAAACGACACTTGGTTACTGTCCTCTAGGAGTTCACCAAATAAGGACAGTTAAAGAAAAAAAAAACTTTCTTCTAACTTTTTTCAATTCAACAAACATTTATAAATGCCTACTATATGCCAGATCCTGTGTAGTATCATTTATGTAGTAAATAATGAATATTTTAATATCTGTCTGTATTTCAACATCTGTATATGACACATCTATAGAAATTGGTTCATCTAGAGATTAATTAAGATAGAGACACATAGATAGATAATGCCATTTAAGATAGGATATTTAGAGTCATTCAAAATTTTTGGATCTGCTACCTCTGACAATCAATGAACAAGCATTTATTGAATGTTGGCTATATGCCCAGGACTGACCTAAGCTTGTTAGGAGATGGACAGAAGGGAAGCTTGAGAGATTATGCCTGCAAGGAGTTTCAATCTACTTGAGGAAAAAAGATAGTGCACAATCAATATTAAGTGACATATTGTGCTGAGTTTTGATTTAACAGGAGGTTGGGGAAAGGAGAGCTAACTGGGGGATCAGAATAGCCTAGGAACACTTCATGGAGAACCTTGGACTAAAGCTGATGCTTGAAGGATAAGTATAGTTTGGCAGACCCAACTGGAAATTCGTTGGCTAATTCTCAGAGTTTGTAGGTTCCAGACCCTCTTAGGTTTTTTCTTAAGGAATATTTTTTTCTTAATGAGTTTATCCTGATGGAAAACTAATGGGATTATAGTTTCAGTGGCAAAGGATAGGAGCACAATGAAGCCCTTCGTCCCTTGCTTAGGGCCTATTTAGACAAAATTCTAGCAAGTTTGATTATTATACCTAATACCTAAAGAGTTGGAAAGTCCTTTTAAATTTTACCTCCACAACATATCTTCTCCATCCCCTTATCTCCGTTAATATGGCTACAATCTGAGTTGAAACCCTTCTGATCATTTATCTAGACTATTGCAATAACCTTCAGAATAGATTCCCTGCTCTCAGTCCCTCCCCTTTCCAATCCAACCTCCATATAGCTGCCAAAATAAACTTACTAAGTCAAGGGTCTGTGTCTTTCCACTGCTCCAAAATATTAAGCGACTTACTTCTGTCTCCATGGTCAAGTACAAATTTAAAAGCCTTTAACAATCTGGTTCCATTCTCCATTTCCAGACTTACTCTATACTCTTCTGCTTTATATACTTTCCGTCCCAGTCAAACTAACTTTCTTTCTGCTTCTCAAATTTGTTATTTTCTCTGTCTTATCTCTGGGCCTTTGTGAAGGTTGGCTCTTATGCCTGGAATGCATTCTTTTCTCCACCTCTATGAGTCCTTAGCTTCCTCCAAACTCAATTTGAGCCCTTTCCTGGTCCCCCTTATTGTCCATGCTCCCATCCTTCTCGAATTATATTGTATTTATTTATCTGTTTAGAAATTGCATCCCCCAGTAGAAAGTAAGCTCCATGAGGGAAGGGGCTATTTGTCATTTTTCTTTTCTTTGCACTCCCTGTACCTAGCATTGCCCATATTAGGTGCTTAAAAAACATTGCTTGAATTCAATATACTGTTCCCAGCCAATAGTAAATTAGGAGGAATTTGTATAAAGTTACATATATATTGTTTAGTTGTTCAGTTTTGTCCGACTCTTCATGACCCCATGGACTGTAGCACATCAGGACCTTCTATCCTCCTCTCTCTCCTGAAGTCTGTCCAGTGAATAGCTTGAATGGATTTCTTTAATTATTGACTGATTTGATCTTTTTGCTGTCCAAAGAACTCTCAAAAATATTCTCCAGCACCACAATTTCACATGATGTATTTTGCATATAAATGAAATAAATGACAATATATAGACTTGTGCTACTTTTCCAATCTTAAACCAACAGACATGATATTTACAATAATATATAGTCAGAATCTGTTATCTAATTTTCCTTCCATATATGTTATTTAACATATATTCTTTTAAAAATAAACTATATATAGGTCATCTTTGAAAGTAGTGAAACTATAAACTCACTATTTTTAATTTTTCCCTGCTTGGATGCCCATCAGCTGGGCAATGACTGAACAAATTGTGGTATATGATTGTGATGGAATACTATTGTAGTTTAAGAAATGGTGAGCAGGATGCTTTCAGAAAAACCTGGGAAGTCTTATTTGAACTGATGCAAAGTGAAGTGAGCAGAACCAGGAGAACATTGTACATAGTAACAACAATATAGTATGATGATTATTTTTGAATGATTTAGCTATTCTCAGCATTACAGTGATCCAAGACAATTCTGAAGGACTTACAAAAAATGTTACCCACCTCCAGAGAAAGAACTGATGGAGTCTGAATGCAGATTGAAGCATACTTTAAAACAAAACAAAACTAAAAAAACAAAACAAAACAAAACCTTTATTATTCTTGGGTTTTTTTTTTTTTGGTCTGTGTTTGCTTTTGCAACATGGCTAATATGGAAATGTTTTGAATGACTGTACATGTATAATTTATATCAAATTGTCTTCTCAAAGAGGAGGAATAAGATGAAGGGAGGGAGAGAATTTGGAACTCAAAATTAAAAAAAACTATGAATATTAAAAAATTTTGTTTAATGTAATTCAGAGAAAAATAAAATAAAAATTAAATGTAAAAAAAACCCTCACCCTCCCCTCTCAAAAATGCCTGTTTCCATTTGTGACTTATCCTTCTTCTATTGATAAAAAGCATTTTCCAATCACATGGAATGCCCATCAGTTATGCTTCATTCTCACTATGTGATCAGAGCACCCCCTTTTCCAGACATATACCTCTTTGATGATAGCTTTTATTCTTCCTCTTCTTGCAATTCTTCATTAAAAATATAGATTACACATTTTCTCCAAGAAATGCTTACATGAAGTAGAATAAACATTCCATTAAGAAATGTACATAAATGATCCTATGTACTCAGGGTCATCTAAGCAAGACAATATTTCTTGAAGAATTGGAGAGACTCTTCTACCATTCAGGAGTCCACAGGGAGGTTCTAACTGCCACCCTTGAGGGACAGTTAACAATCACAGCATTAGCTTTAGGCTGGGCAGAGAACCAGGTCTGTGGGTTGTTACAAAGTATGATTAAGGCAATTTCTAGTCTCAATACTGATTTTTCAAAACTTCTCAAGAGTATTGTCAAGAGACTATATAGTATAGATTCATAAAAGCCAACCTTTTAAACTAAAAATACACAGGTTCTTGGCATATTTATGTCTAGTTGTCCATGTAAAATGAACAGCTAGTAAGGTTCCCCAGTTAAGCACATCATCATCCCAAGACTTATACAAATCAGTGGGGTGGAGAGAGATGTGTCATAGTTGGGGAAAGGAAGATGTTGAATATTGATTTTCTTTCTTTCTTTCCTTCTTTTCTTTATTCCTTTTTTCCTTCTTTCTTTCCTTCCTTCCTTTCTTAGTAGCAATTGATACAACTTTGAGACACAAAACCATAGCCCTGCAATACATCTCCCTTCATCATTTCTTTTAACACTTAATATGATCTTCAACATTATTCTGAAAATTCTCCTTGTCCCACAGATAACTCTCTGTAGTTTCAGTATCCAAAAGAGGAGGGAGGGAGGGAATTAACATTTATATAGTACTTATTATGTGCCAGGCACTGTGCTAGGCACTTTACAAATATTATCTCATTTGATCAATGATCATAAGGATCATTAAACTTCAAAAGAGTGGTAAATTAAAAGTTTAATCCAACGTCACTGTCTTAATATTTTATTAAAGCCCATCCAGAGCCATCAACCGAATGTTCTCTTAGTTGATAACCATTTATTAAGTGCCTACTATGTTTCAGGAGCTGAGCACTCAAGGAAAGGCAAAAGACAGTCCCTGCTCCCAAGGAGCTCATAGTCCAATGGAGGAGACAACTTTGCCCTTATGCAACAACATTCAGTCAATTTACACAGATTCTCCAGTCTCCATGGGTTCCAGATGCCAATCATTTGACTTTAGGAGGTACCATTGTGAAAGCAT